GAATTTACAAAACAAAGAAAACATGCTTCCATAGGACTTGACACATGATGAAAATACACGATTACTTTCAGAAATCTAAAGATAAAAAAACCCAACCATCACACTCTAGAACGACTAAGCAATAACACATACAAGTTTTTAAGACCTTATAAAACAGATACCACTAATATGGTCCCCTGACAGCCACATGGTTTTCGCCCAGTTTGACATGCGTGTAAAATGGGCGCCATATTGTAAATTTTATTTACTGGGATTATCATCCTGTACAGGCAGGTACAATTTTAAGCGGATTTTTCTTGTGGCAGTTGATGACTACCTCACTGAACCTCCTATGAGAGGCCCGTCGCGCGCTTTGAGAGGACAGGGGTAACGTGATCTATTAAAAATCACTGTATGTCAGAATAGCACGGTCCGTGATGTTAGTCCGAGCATTCTGAGAAACACGAACCGCCGTGAAGAACCGCGATAACCTATGTACAACCGGTGGTTGGTAATGATCGGAACCTTTAGGCCTCATGACATTTATCAATCAGAAACAAGGTACAATGGTTTGTTCATGTCCATGAATGCGCAGAAAGTTTCCCTAGTACCAACAGTCACGAGACATATTAATTTTTAAAAAATCCATGTATGGACGACAAATACAGGCGAAGGGCTTTCATAAATCTGTTGAGAATAACTCAATTAGCAGAAAACTAAAATTTGACATGCATCATACTTACTTTGAATGTATTGTTGAGAGAAAAGGTTTCCGACCAATTTATTCTCTCGTCTGACTGTTCGCAGGGTAGTACTCCGTGACTACTGAGAGTCTCGGACAACAGCCTGGAGAATGATACACATATACTGATGTAACGCTCGCCTCTGGTACTATAGCAGATGGTTCACTCGTTTCTACGTTATATATTAACCAAGAGGTCAAAAAAAGACATTTTAATGGTAGATATCAACTTAATATAATCCCGTTGGGAAATGTAAATGTACTTAAGAATTGATATGAGGTATTTTTCCTTGATGGCCATTTATTAGTGATTTTGAATGAATAATCAGAAATAAGATGACTATATGATGGCGACACTGTATCTCCAGACATCAGTACAATTTTGTTAATTTGTGTTGCCAGGAAAGCAGCCACGTGTTCATATCATCACACTGCTTCAGTAACGTCGTCAATTTGCTACTTCACTGTGTGATTATACAAAGAATATCGTTATCATTTTGTTGTTACAAATGTACATTGTGTGATTGTGATACAATACCGTTGTCAATTGGTTGTACGTACACTTTGAATTTTGCTCCAGTACAGTTTGTCAGTTAGCTACATGTACTTACAATGTGAATTGTGGTACGTTCATGCACTTAAACATTCCTGGTTATATATAAAACACCCTTCGTCATACTGGTATAACGTTACGCATTATGAACTCGATAGAAGTTTGATTCTGAAGTATTTCATCAGAACATCGATACAGGTAAATGATCATAAATGACAAAACGATTTATTAATACAATATCAGAACCTAAAACGTTCCCAAACCTTGTAATTCTGACTGCTAACATGTAAAGAGAGATAACTGTCTAAATTCTGACTTTAAGGGCGAGGAAGAATACATGGGTTCATGTAAACTAAGCTTCTATGCCTTGTTGATGATGTATAGACGTGGAAACATATGTCATTATATTACCTATGTTGTTCGTGTCATCGTCATATTGTTGACAGAGCATTTGTCAGCCTTGGGAGTTATCAGATGGTGTTCATCAGCTCCAGAAAATTACTTATCTGAATAGGACCCAACATTTGTGACAGTAAAGTAAAATATAAACTTGTACCGTGTACATCATTTAAAGACAAACTAGTAATAAATAGACTGGGTAAAAACAGCATTAAATATGTGTGTTACCCTGTATTTCGGAACATATTCTTCATGTTGGTAATGTCGGTTCCATAACACAACCAGTATAATATTCTAGTGGTTGTGTTACAAGATCTTATGTTCTATAGCTTTGGTATATGTTTGTCCAATAACAAATTAAATGTACCAAAGGTTAAGGTTAATTTACGAGAGCATAACGTGATGAAAAAGGTCATTGTCTTACTCCCATCGTATAAATGAAAATAGAATCAAACTGCACTATAATCATCAAAATGTGTCTGATTAAATCTTTCATTTTCACAACTGAACATGTAGCACAGACTTTGTCATGGATACGCCATCCTCGATACTCCAGGGATTACAATCACTTTCACTCTCTGTACCCCTGGAACCATCCTCAATACTCCAGGGGTTACAGTCACTCTCGCTCTCTGTACCCCTGGAACCATCCTCGATACTACAGGGATTACAATCACTTCCGCTCTCTGTACCCTTGGAACCATCCTCAATACTCCAGGGATTACAATCACTTTCACTCTCTGTACCCCTGGAACCATCCTCGATACTACAGGGATTACAATCACTTCCGCTCTCTGTACCCCTGGAACCATCCTAAATACTTCAGGGATTACAATCACTTTTGCTCTCTGCACCCCTGGAACATGTATCATGGCAAAACTGAAAGTTCCTTGTGCGACACTTTGCGGACAGAGCGAAAAGACGAGTTTGATAGTGACTCTCGAGGTCGCATAGCAGTGTATTGTAATGGCTTTGAAGTTGGATGTTGCTCTTTTGTAATCTTTAAAAGGAGTATATCAGTCTGTGATTGGTCAGGATTTTGCTCCTGGAACAAATCAAATTACTTCGCTTGCGCCTTCAATTTTGCCATGGCATGTTTCAGGGGTGCAGAGAACAAAAGTGATTGTAACCCACGTAGTATCAAGGATGTAGATATGCATTAATCCATTTTCAAATGAAGTCGGAGTACGCTTTGGTCCTAGGTCAGAACACTTTACTAAACAACTTATCCTAATCGATAAAAATTTCATTTAATTTGACAGGTAATAGTAAGGATACGCGTATCTCCTGGTTCACACCACTCTAGCAACAACCCAGCTGCTACTTTGGTCAATGTTATTGAGTTCTGGAGAATTGTCAGTACACAAACCAGCATCGTTTTGATCTCCATTCCACGTCGTCCCCTAGTTAGCGGGTCAGCAGTGGTCTACAATTAGGTACTGCACTATCTCTATCACTTGCCCTACCTGCCTTCAGTGTTATGACTGGCTAGCTGCCTTCATTTCTACACCCGTCAGTCCTCCGCTAGGAACAACCAAATACTCCATTGCTTACCTACATTCCTCTGTTTGATTCTTCATATTTAACAGCTTTCATGTGCACGTCGCAGGAATCGTCCAATAGAATTTACACTGTTAAAAGGTCTACTGTATTTATGGTGTGTACGAAATCATGTGTCATTTTATGGTTGGTGCTTATGGTAGTAAATCGTCTGTTCTCTCGAAAAGAATGATGTTAAAAATTGACACAATTTTGAAAAAATATCGAGGTAAAATTTGTGTATGGTATTAAGTTACTTTTTTTTCTATAAATCTTGATAACAGACTTGTGTTCATTTTCTGACTTCAGTTTTTTTATAGATTCTGATATTAGCGGTGTTCGTTTTCTGACGTCACTGAGTTTTTATATGAAGATTCTTATATTTGACTTGTTCGTTTTCTGACGTCACTGTTTTTTTATAGATTCTGATATTAATCTTGTGTTCATTTTCTGACGTCACTGATATCTCTTGTCGCTGCCCTTTCTTTAAAACAAGCTTAGGCAGAACCTTGTCAGCCTTTCCCAGCTAGATGGCTACACGTGTCTACCAGCCACAGAAGACGTTTGTGTCTACTAAAAGCTGTAGGCTACAAGTTGAAACCTCCAAAAGACCCAATGCATCTCCACAAATTGTTTGGTGATTGTACTGACATACACAAACCTTAGCATGGAGATCTATAACCGTCACTTTTTCCTTTGCCTATCACTTTGTACAATGCTGAACAAATCCAGGCCTACTGATAACTGAGGCCCTGTATCGCTCACCTGGATCTTTATAACCCACATTACTATATCTGTGCATATGTTCCACGTTTAACATATTTGACCCCTGTGACCTTGACTATGGGTCAAGGTCATTTCTTTTACTTTCTTGGACTTTATAAAAGGAACATACTGGCCAAATATAATGATTCTAGGCTTTTCGATATTTCAGAAGAAATTTTAACACATTTGACCTCAGTGACCTTGAATATTGGTCAAGGCCATTTCTTTTAGCAAACTTTGTAGGACACCATAAGAGGAACATAGTAGCCTAATATACTGATTCTAGGGCTTCCGGTATTTTAAAGAAGTCGCTTAAAGTTTTTAACACATTTGACCTCTGTGACCTTGAATATGGGTCAGGGATATTTTTTTCGCAAACTTTGTTGGGTTTCATCAAAGGAACTACCCAGCCAAATATAATTATTCTAGGCCTTCCAGTATTTTGGAAGAAGTCTTTTGAAGGTTTTAACACATTTGACCTCAGTGACCTTGAAAATAGGTCAAGGTCATTTCTATTTGCAAACTTTGTTGGGCTTCATCAAAGGAACCTTCCAGCCATATATAACAATTCTAGGCCTTCCAGTATTTTGGAAAAAGTCGTTTAAAGGTTTTAACACATTTGACCTCTGTGACCTTGAATATGGGTAAAGGTCATTTCTTTTTGCAAACTTAGATGGGCTTCATCAAAAGAACCTTCCAGCCAAATATAATGTTTCTAGGCCTTTCGGTATTTTGGAAGAAGTCGTTTAAATGTTTTAATACATTTGACCTCTGTGACCTTGAATATGGGTCAGGGATATTTTTTTTCGCAAACTTTGTTGGGTTTCATCAAAGGAACTATCCAGCCAAATATAATTATTCTATGCCTTCCGGTATTTTGAAAGAAGTCGTTTAAATGTTTTAACACATTTGACCTCTGTGACCTTGAATAAAAAAATATCTTATTTGTGTTTCTTGTAATAAGGATAAAGGATGGAATACATCTCACACAATCACGTATATAATTTGATTCTTATATGTTTATTCAATAGAAAACATCTCCTTAGATACTCTGTTGATACATCTATACACTATACACCTAAGTCCAAGTTAGATTTTACTACCTCCGTAATACCATCTCTACTTTTTGAAAAATGAGTCTATACATTTTGTTTTTATCACAGATGATCCACTGTCAACCCTCTTCCTTTTGACAGCCTGTGGAGAAGGCCCAGGTCCACTAGATGATCTGGAAACAAGATCAAAACACTTCAAAGAAAACTGCAATATGTCTTTCAATTGGCATAATTTACAATGCATCGTTGAATGGCAATGAAATAAAAAGAACAGCATCACTATATATGAATTTCCAATACATCTCTGTTTATCCATTAAAAATGTTGAAATGAACCAGCCTTCTTTGGGAGTGTAACATTACGCTGTAGAGTGTATGACTTTACATGGTCAATACTTCTAGGACTTTGACTTCATAAATACATGTATGTATTACATCCTGAGTGACCCTGTTATACCCAAAAATGAACAGTATATATTTCATTCATCTTACCCATCAATGTAGACATCACTCCCTGTACATGTTTGACTCAGCCCCACCCATCAATGTAGACATTACTCCCTGTACATATTTGACTCAGCCCCAACCATCAATGTAGACATCACTCCCTGTACATGTTTGACTCAGCCCCCATCCATCAATGTAGACATTACTCCCTGTACATGTTTGACTCAGCCCCCATCCATCAATGTAGACATAACTCCCTGTACATATTTGACTCAGCCCCAACCATCAATGTAGACATTACTCCCTGTACATGTTTGACTCGGCCCTCACCCATCAATGTAGACATTACTCCCTGTACATGTTTGACTCGGCCCTCACCCATCAATGTAGACATTACTCCCTGTACATGTTTGACTCAGCCTCACCCATCAATGTAGACATTACTCCCTGTACATGTTTGACTCAGCCCCCACCCATCAATGTAGACATAACTCCCTGTACATGTTTGACTCAGCCCCACCCATCAATGTAGACATTGCTCCCTGTACATGTTTGACTCGGCCCCCACCCATCAATGTAGACATAACTCCCTGTACATGTTTGACTCAGCCCCACCCATCAATGTAGACATTGCTCCCTGTACATGTTTGACTCAGCCCCCACCCATCAATGTAGACATTACTCCCTGTACATGTTTGACTCAGCCCCACCCATCAATGTAGACATCACTCCCTGTACATGTTTGACTCAGCCCCCACCCATCAATGTAGACATTACTCCCTGTACATGTTTGACTCAGCCCCCACCCATCAATGTAGACATTACTCCCTGTACATGTTTGACTCAGCCCCCACCCATCAATGTAGACATCACTCCCTGTACATGTTTGACTCGGCCCTCACCCATCAATGTAGACATAACTCCCTGTACATGTTTGACTCAGCCCCACCCATCAATGTAGACATTACTCCCTGTACATGTTTGACTCAGCCCCCACCCATCAATGTAGACGTTGCTCATGTACATATTTGACACAACCATCACCCATGAACGTGCATGTTAATCCCTGTACAGCTCTCACCTTTTTGTGTTGTCACGTTGCTCCTGTAATATCTGTGTAATAGTACCCTTGGATAAACATGTGTCTACATGAGTATTAAACTCGTCCAGACTCATTCCAGTCTGCTCCATGAAACACACTGGACACACCATTTTTTGAGCATCCTTTGACCCCTCGAACACACCAGTCTGTGATGAAGAGATGCCTGATTTCTCTTCCTTGTCACTGGCATTTGTTACCATGGATACAACATCAAATTCAGTAACAGACTTAACAATTATGTCATGGATTCTACTTTCTGCAGCAGTCTTTCCATCGTCACAAGTTAGGCCTACTTTAGGACTTGAAAATGAGCTGGTTGGATGTAGAGAAGACATTTTTGATTTCCTTTTATCTTTTGGAGTTGATGGAGATCCAGATAGTCTCCTGGCTGTTGGCTTTCTTTTCACTGCATTTGGTGTTTTTGACAGCTTTGTTTTCATATCTTCTTCAGGACGATACCTAGAACAGTCCATGACTATCTTCTTGTTCAGACAAATGTCAATGTGTTGATTGAACTCTGATAAATTACCACACACTACCTCATCTTGACATACTGGGCAGATGTAAGGTTTGGTACTATCTCCCTTTACAGATTCCTGTAGCTTTTGCTCTTTAGCTAGACTTTTACTAACACAATGGTCTGGGTCCAATAACAAAGCGGCATTAGCACTTTTTCTAAAATCACTATGTATGTCTTTATCAGTGACCTTTTCTATTCTGTCTGGAATGTCTTCTATGCTTTCCAAATCAGATGACTCTGCACCCGAACAAGTCTCCGACTTTGTGGCATATTTATCTAGCATCTTACTGGATTTTACAAAATCACTGGAATTTATCGAAACAGTTGGTAAAATTAGGATTTTTGGGTCTAGATCTGCCTGATTTAGTGTTTCCACAGGGCCTGAATCTGCCATGGTCTGAAATTCAAGTTCATCGGTAAGCTTAAATTTAGGAGAATCAAAAGTTTGAATTTCATCTGCTGCAGATACATTATATTCCGGATTAATTGGTTTATTTGAACTGTTACTGTCATTATCAACCCACTGCATGGCGTCAAAGGTGGAAGTATTAGAAACTTTCATTAAACATGGTACATTGTCATTCAAGACCTCTTCCTTTTCTGTATCTTTCAATTCCTTAGGGTCACAGCCACAAGTGTTAAGAGATCCGGAATTCTCTGGGCCAGAACGCCCTACTTGTCTGACAAATCGTGTCAATGTGTTTTGTTGCTTCTTTCGACACAAATTCTCATTCAGAAGGGAAGATATCCTAACACCTGAAAATGTAAGCAATTTTCTGTAAAGGTATATATGACAATCACAACAGATTTGATAAGTTTCCTAAACAACGGTTGAAATTAGAGTGAACGAAACTAACGAATCAGAGCCAAAATTATGCTTGAATTATATCACTGAAATTTACAAGCATCACAACCATCATACACTAAATTAAAACTTTTATATTTTTCTCTCAAATTGAAATCTGATCAAGTCAAATACATGCAATAGAATGTAATTATGAGTAAGAATATCATACATCACAACAACACTAAGTCTCAATACATGAATTCTCTTAAGAAACACAGAAATAACTGTCTAACTAACAGCATAATTTAGACAACATAATTACCCATGAGCCGGAGTCGAAGGGGTTGGGGTGCCACACTTTGAATTTCAGTCTGTAACAGTCCCTGGGCTGCAGAGAACACTACATCTAAGTCAAACGTGTAATCTGGAAGGGTGTGGGCTCGAGTTTTTACCTCATACTTAACGGTCTTCAATTTTATAGCCACCGTCTTACCCTGCAAGAATTTTTTTTTAATATTATCAAGAGACTTGAAAACAATGAAAACATATACCTGGTATATGAAAACCATGCATTGTAAAACTGTCTTCATAATAAGCCTGTTTTAGTTTTAAAGATAAGTCTTAAGTATCAATATTTTACAGCACCAATATTGTTTTAAGATCCATAGAATTCATTGTTACCGATAGATACAATACATGGTCCCAATCTTGATTTTTTTTCTTCCTGAAGTTCTAACAGAGACATAGTCTTCACAGAGACATAGTCCTCACAGAGACATAGTCAGTATAATGACATATGATGCCTACCTTGAGTTTTTCCTCCCTGAGATCCTCACAGAGACATAGTCAGTATAATGACATATGACACCTACCTGAAGTTTTCCCTCACTGAGGTCCTCACAAAGACATAGTCAGTATAATGACATAAGACACCTACCTTAAGTTTTCCCTAACTGAGGTCCTCACAGAGACATAGTCAGTATAATGACATAAGACACCTACCTTAAGTTTTCCCTAACTGAGGTCCTCACAGAGACATAGTCAGTATAATGACATAAGACACCTACCTTGAGTTTTTCCTCCCTGAGATCCTCACACAGAGATACACAAAGCTCCTGACATTTCTTCACTAACTCTTCAGGCTTACTGATTTCACTGAAAGTTCTACAACACCAAAAAATAAACCAGAATTACAATTCTGAAATTGACAAATTATGTTGGTACAAGAATTAAACACTACAAAATTCTATCATAAACAGTAGAACAGTTCCAAGAGATACCTCTGTATAAAATGTCTCCTTTACACACATATACCCAGAGACATAAACTCATATCTATCATTGTGTTTCTTTAATGAATACAGGTAATAGAAAAGGTATATGTGTCTGTCTGTCTGTATGAACGCATGAGACTCATCTGTTGTTTGGAAAACCAGCCAATATACAGCTGTACAAAGAAGACGCATACACTCTGCAGGGAAGTACTGGGTTTGGTGCCTGTGGCATAAAAACATATTTTGATGTATTTATATATATTATAGTCCACGTCCACATCCACCACCACCTATCCGTAAATACATCACATATACCAGCATGCACAATGAATCATATTAATATCTATCATGTCTGCACCCAGCTGTCCTCCCTACCCCCACTCCTCACTCCCACACACACTCCTTCATATAATACATGCAGCTTAATTTGATGTCTAATGTTGGAGGAAAACCACGTGGGACAATCACTGTGCCATCACAGTGACAGCCAACCCAGCAGACATCACCCAAAGAAGGAGTCAAACCCAAGAGGTCTACAACTCATGCTTGACTGGATTTGCTATTCCTGTAACGCATGAGTGATTATGGTTACTGAGGCATTTCATTACATATATACGGGATACACTTATATAACTACAAAGTAATACAGAATCTGGTATACAAAAGACTGCCACATCATGTTAAGTTTACTACACAACTTCAGTTAACTGATATAACACATCATGTCAAGTTTACTACACAACTTCAGTTAACTGATATAACACATCATGTCAAGTTTACTACACAACTTCAGTTAACTGATATAACACATCATGTCAAGTTTACTACACAAGTTCAGTTAACTGATATAACACATCATGTCAAGTTTACTACACAAGTTCAGTTAACTGATATAACACATCATGTCAAGTTTACTACACAAGTTCAGTTAACTGATATAACACAAAGCTTTTGGCGAGTCTTTTCACTATTTACCACTAATGCATGAACAATGAAGCAGGAAAATTGTGATTTTTTTTCTGGCTTGTTGCCGTCAACAAAAAAGGTAACTTTAAGGTTCTGTGTGGTAGATAGTGACTACTTCATTGAAGAATGTAAGAGAGGCCGGTCACATGTTATTTCAGTAAGGTGTACACAGCCACTACAGCACACGGCATTTACTTCTCAGCTTTCTCAGAAATATAAAATCCCACATGTAGGACATGTAGGGACCATTGAACTAAATGCCTCAAATCTTCATCTGAGATTGCCAACACTCTACCATCTGAGATACTCCCAAAAATGCCTCAACTCTTCATCTGAGATTGCCAACACTCTACCATCTGAGATACTCGCAAAATCTATCAAATAAACATCACAGAAAAGTGTTATTTCACTGGAGTGATAAAACAAACATGACGTGGTGTACATATCACATGGTGAAATCAGCTATTTATAAGATAATATCACTACCTTTCAGTGCTCATACTCTTCCTGTCACTGTCTCTGGAAAATAAACAACACACAATTCAGTGTGTATGGAAACACATTTCTTTATAGGAGGTGTATATCATTAGGTATCAATAAACAGCTATTAAATTTTGTTAAGTACAATAATAAGGGAGGAAACATCACAGTTTCAAGATTTTCTGTATCTTAGCAGTTCCCTTTCCAATACTGCCTTGTAAGAAATTTCTTTATTTAGGACACAAGCTACATTTACAGAAGATCAATACTCAAACATAAAACAATATTAATGTATTTATTCTAGAGGCTAGGTCCTCTTCAATGAGTGGCATTTAAAAGACAACAAACTTTTAAAATTCTGTAGGTAATTACTATACAGCAGCATTCTATGATATGCGGCTGATATGTTGAATGAGCACTTTGCAATAGGAATGGAAAGGAAAAATGGTAATGAACCTCCTTATGAAGTTTGAAACTGATTTGTTGAAAACTACTTGCAACTTCGAGTGGACACTGTTTCAATAATTGAATAAGGGGCCATAAATTCATGTATTATTTTGAATATTATGGTGACTGAAATTGTACGAGCTATCGTGGCTATCTATTTCTCTATGAAGTGGATCCAATGAAAAGAATTTGAAAAAGAGATATTCAGTACTTCTAGAAATATAGAGATAACAATCTTTCCGTGTTCAAATCGAAGGTGGCTGTCTCTCAGCCATTTTTTCTTATCCGTCCCAAAATCTAATGGGCACAACTAGGGGCCATGGGGAACCTACAATGGGCCTGCATTGTTCACCTGGTATTCTACGTTCATCAAAAACAGAATCAGAGCTAAAATCAGAAATATATTGACATGTACACCATTGGCATTCAAAGTGGGCACATCCAATGAATTCTAACCAATTTCCACAATGAACAGGTTCTTATACTCAATTCTAAACAGTGACAGTTATGACCTGGTTTATAGGTAAATGCTGTTTCTTTTTCCCAAAATTTGATGGGTTTTGACTTAAAAACACCTTTCCACCAAATATCCTGATTCTCAGACTTTTGGTTTACCAGAAGACGTCTTTTACAGGTTTCAACCAATTTGATCGCTGTGATCTTCAATATAGGTCAAGGTCATTTAAAATCACAAATATTATTTGGCAACCTAGGAACCTATCACCCAAATATCAATCTGCATTTTTGGGTTAGTCAGAGAAGTTGTATAAAGGTTTTAACAAATTTGACCCCTGTGACATTGAATAATGGTCAAAGTCATTCGTTTTGTAAACTTTCTCGGGTTTCATCCTTGGAATCTATCAGTCAAATATGATGCTTCTCTGTCTATTGGTTATTCAGAAGTCGTTAACAGGTTTTAACAAATTTGACCCCTGTGACCTTGCATATAGGTCAAGGAAATTTCTTTTCGCAAACTTTGTCTGGCTTCATCCTAGAAACACACTTGCCAAATATCAAAACAGTTGGTCCATTGGTCTAAAAGATGTTGTTTAAAGGGAAAAGTTGATGCCAGACGACAAACGGACAACGCACCACAGCATAAGCTCACTTGGCCCTTTGGACCAGGTGATCTAATAACAAACTTTACTTGGCAAATTAAAGATGGCCATCAGTCACCCATTTTAGTTTTTTCTGATAAGTCCAAAAATCAAACAGGCATAACTAGGGACCAGGAGAAATCTACATATGAAATATGGGAAAGATCTATCCAGTGCTTCTCAAGAAATAGCTATAAACTTCACTGTAAAAATTCAAAATGGCTACCTGTCAACCATTTTGTTTTTCTAATCAGATCCAAAATCAAGTCAGGAGAAGTTGTGCCAACAGGAACCTTCAAATGAAAATGGAAAAATATCCATCCTGTACTTCTCAAGAAATAGCAATTACAAAAATTGTTTACCAACGGACTGGTGGATGGACCACAGACCCAGTGTGATTTGAATAGACCACATGGCTAAATTATCCAGAAAACTATCTACAATTTCTTTACAAAAGTCTGCACATCTTGACCATGCAGATAGTCCATACCTTTAGCATATTTCTAATTCAATATCACAATATAATATTTTACTTAAATCATAATCAACATGGACTGAAACAAGTGTTGTTTACCTTTCCACATTCACCGAGCCGATGCCCACACAAATCCTCATGAAGTAGTTGAAGGAGATGGGTGAGTATAGGTGATACAGTAGCGCCCTCTGGTTGTACAGGTCAGAGCAAGTGGAGATATTCAATGCATTTAGCATCTTCTCACTCACCTTGCCGATACCACTGATCTGGATACAAGATAGACAATAAGTCAGACATCTACAAAGATCAGGAATATAACACAAGTTTATATATTAATTACACTACACATGAGGAATCCTACAATTTAACTTGGCTTTTTTACCTTCTCTGTAATGAGCTGTATTTATTATGACAGGTTATTAATTAGGTCAGTAAATGACAGAAGTTTCTCTGTATCCATTTTCATTTCTGCAATGATTTAATAAGATGGTGATACATGGAATTACAAACTTTTTCAGAATCTTTTCCAATGTTCAAAATCAGGTGTACTCTGGGAAGAAAAATGCCTACTAACACACCAATAAATCTAATAGACCAGTCATCATCAAAATGATAATTCGGACACTATACCATCTTACCTTGCGAATGGGCAAATCTGTGATAAAACCCATCACTGCATCCATAGTGGCTGCAATTCTGTACTGACCATTGGGCTTGTTCTTGTCAGAACAGACTTTTGCGAGCATCATATTTGGAGCAATACCTGAAAAATAAGCATGGATGTTATAAAAACCTTATATCAAACTAAAGTCATGTACAGTAAAAGGAATTTTAAAAAAATTCTACCAAACATTTTCTGGTCAAGAACCACAGATATTATATTTATATAACACACTTTCTTGTGATCACGCAACTATGACAATCGAACAATTTCTAATCTAGACATTTTGATGTAATCAAAACATGTCTTACCTGCACTAGCTGTAAGCTGGGTTTTCTGTTCAATCCTTGACCTCATTTCTTTGACAGAATCGTCTGCTGAGAAGCCAAAAGTTACGACATCATAAGGGGGAAAGGACTTTCCACATATTGGACATGGTCCTTCACTTAGTGCACCCTGGTCATCTCCTGAATTATTCTCTGTTTTGGACACTGATCTAGTGTTTTCGATTCTAGATGTTAACACTGCATCCCTTGCCACCATATTGACATCACACTTACAGTTACTATCCTTAGCAGATATGTCAGACCTACGCACGAGAAATGTGCGGTCAGCCTCTGATGAATAAATCCGTTTGTCCAGGTGATCAGTGATATCAAGGTAGGCTTCGTCTAAACTCATTGGACAGTAATTGGGATCATAATCGGCCAAGACAGATCGGATCTCTCTACTGACTGCTGTGTACTTTTCAAAGTTTGGCTTGACCATGATAAGGTCCGGACACAGCTTCTTTCCAATAAAACCAGGCATGGCTGCCCGTACCCCAAACTTACGGGCCAGGTAGTTGGATGTTGACTGAAAAATAAACAATGTGTTTCCAAATTCTTTTTCAATATTATAGCGAAAGGAGAGCAAGTTAGACTTTGTTTTTTGTCACCATAGAGTAGATTTAATGCTGAACACAGACCTATCAAAATATTCTGCCCTTTTAGTCCTTACCAACATAGAGTATCCTCCAACTGCCATAGGTTTGTTCTTCAGACTAGGGTCGTCTCTCATCTCAACAGCTGCATAGAAAGCATCCATGTCTACATGTACAATAATCCGACTCAAGTCTCGCTGACCCTCTAGATCATCTATGAGTTTATCGGCCTGTACAAAAATGATCCACTACAATTGTTAGCATTACTGTTGTGTGATTAAAAAATATTTTTTATTGGAGTCCTAACTTCCAGAAAATGTAGTTGAAATGATTATATTCACTCTGCTTATACTTGCTTTTATTCTTTTCAGATTTAATAGACATTATAACACTAGTTAAGTTGCCAATAAAATTACATATGAATGAAAACAGATTTACTTTTTTTTACGTTGCACATGATAAACTTTGCTGAACTGATTACAAAGTGAAAATATATACATGAAAGCATATCAAATCTACAATTGAAACTCAATATCTTGAGTGAGTTTCAACTGTATGTATAGCTTATACATATATACAACTTATCAAAGTTTCTATTTTAGTTTATAAGTAATATGATGTGTACTGGTTTATAAGTCATAGAAGTTGATGTGTCCAGTAAAACCTCACAAATACTGTTTTTTCATCTGTAAAAAAATCCGGCATATTGTGTACCATACCTCAGTCAATCCTTGATGGAGTTGGACATCACCAATCTTTCTCAGTTTTACCATCTGTTCTTCTATCTTTTTATTCACTTGTTCTTCCTTCTTCTTTTCATTCTCAAAATACTTTGACCCTACAGGAAACCACACCAGTTTTTACAAGAATTCTAAGAATGGGATACAGATTATGTGAATCTCTGATCCCACTGATGCTAATATAATAACATTGCCCTTTTATGTTAAAGTTTCATATTATTGCGACAAGTAACAACAGGTGTAATGCTTCATACACACATTAACTGATAACAGTGAAAATTCCAGAACAATAAATATACTACAACATGTGTTTCACTCCTCTATCAGTAGGGACCCCCTGGACATAACTTGGTAGTATTTCACTTTACTGTGCCTGCATGGTGATAGTAAAGTTTTTCGTGAGAGCATACCTTTCGACGCCTCTAGTATAACCTGGTTTATTTTTTCCTTATCCAGACCTTCCATCCCTGCCTTGTTGTCATTGAGAAGCATTCTGCTCATCAGGCCTCCATCCTTTTCCACAGTACTCATGGTACCGTTTATCCCAGCTGGTAACTTTTCATTGGTGCTGTTCAGTGTACTGCTAGGGTTAGGTGGACCCATGCATACATCTTTAACTACAAGAAACAAAAAATAACAAGGTATCAGAAAAGATACAAATCTCTCATTTATAATCAAGCTATGTTGCATCTAAGATTTTTAATAAATAGTAATGGTGACCTTAGCGTTGACCCTAGCATGCTGAAACACAAACTTGTTTATGGCATTATGATACTTGACTGATATGTTAAGTTTGATTAAAATCAATTGGGAAATGAAGTTGCTAGAGTGATAACAAAAAGTGAACATATGTAATGCTACATACCCTCTACGGTTGCCATGGGATAATAAACAAATCTGTTTGAAATGTGAGAATGAAACTTCACATCACTGTGTAAAATTCTCAATGCCTAAAACGTTTCCTTTCAGAAGAATTTTTTATTATCTTTATTGCAGATATTGTACATATTTTATTTCTTAAAATCTTCCAAAACTTTGAAAATTTGAAAATAGATTTATTGTTAGGACAAATATTTTATATACTCTATATTGATAAAGGATATATCCATGAATTGAAATAAAGATTATAAATTGATTTATATACATATATTGTACCTGTCTGGACATTACACTCCTCAGTTGAAAGTGAAGAGTAAAGTAAAATTGATGTGATCATTAGTTTAAAAAGAAAGCAATATTTTCACTTATGTTTCATAAATTTGTTTAAAATTCGTTCCAATCAAGCCAACAAGAGTGATTAATATAAGTTTAAAGCTTGTTTTGCAATTATTGTAAAATAAATAGAGTTTATTTATCTATACATATAAACTGCTTTGCTAGGCATATGCATGATAGTAACGCTGTATATATTTAAATATTTGTGATGTGAAATTGGAAAAAATCCATGAATACATTATCAGCTGACTGTGTGTTCATTATTCATAGAAAGTGAATGCATTCCAAGTTGCATTAATATTTTTTTTTACCTCAATCTTAGATAAATCACTTACCTAGAATTTGCATCAGAATGAATGCTAGAGGCAATTACTATCTTTAATATGCAAAGTATTAATTCTGTTCTTGCTTAAACATAAGGTATAGATGATGGATTATGAAAAAGTATGATTGATTATCATATCAGTAGATGAGGTTAAACAGTTAGATAAAACCTGATCCTTGTGCCATCAGTTATAATTATATATAGTTTAATACCCTTGGAATATGGCTGATTTTTTGTAATTGGCATGTTCCCATCTTCTGTACAACCCCATGATGTGTCCAGCCAGTTTTCTTCCTCCTCATCTTCTGTGTCATCTTCATAACCATCTTCTCCCAGCATTGTCACGATTGTTCTTCTTTAATCACATTACATCTATACTGTTACATTACAAATATCTACAATTATATAAAAGTGAAATCAACGTTTTAATCAGTATTTATCTTGTAAGAAGTCAAATACTTTCACCTGTATATTCAATATTTAATAGGCACGCGCAGGAAAGGCTCTGTGTCATTAACACTACATGTATTAAAGAAATTAAGAGTTTTGGAGAAAAAAGGTTGGATATGGTTTTGGGCCTTTAGCATATTCTGAGAATTTTAATGAGATTTTCAGGGAAACGTGAGTATGTTGTAGTTGTGTTGTCCATCTCACAGGCACTCGAGGCCAGGATATTATTTTTTAAACATTGATTTTTGTTTTAGCACTCATGACTGACGTTATTTAAACGAAATATCAGCAGAATTCAAGTTTATGTGCCGGTTGACAAATCCGAGGTCCACGGTCATTAAAAATACATGTTTAAAAAATAATATCCTGGCCTCGAGTGCCTGTGGTCCATCTCATATTAGTTTTCATCAACTCTATATCGTACATATTGTTGTTCATAGTCACAAATCCACTGTCAACATATTCAAAACCATAGTTTATCAATAAGCAGTCATATACGCATATTAACTTTCATAAACTTGTACAACAAAATGACAAATGAAACCGAATTACCTTGAGCCAGTAATCAGCAATAAAAATGCAAAATTCGCGGATTTTTCCCTCCCAAAAGATTTTCAACAGGGGAAGCAACTCGGTTCTGTTTTCATTCCGCATCGATCCAATAAGCCGCTCTCCGCAGTGTTTTTCTTTTTTTTAAATATTGTTTATATTCAAAAGTGCTTGCTAAATCACATTTACTTGACATTTTGCCCGTAACGTTCTTGTTATTTATTTCTGTACCATGTATAATCCCTAATATGCACTGTAAAATTAATTACAACATGTAAAGAATACCTCGAACTAGCTACGAAATGTACCAGAAGATATACGGAGTCTGAGATAGAATCCTTGACTACTCACCCAGGAACGATACATATGTTATACCTGTACAACAGATACATAATGTAATAAACTTGTGGCGTGATCGTAAACTTTAAAATCACCAATTCAGTCAGAAATCGGCCAGATCGAACGACCAATAGATTGAAATACAAAATGTAGTTCTTTGTACCATTACAAATATTGAAAACTGCTGAGATCATCCGATCGGATTTGATGTTGAAATGTTATTCCTTAATCCTGTGCACTATTTTCACCAAACCCGGGGGGGGGGGGCGACAATATACGGCATTAAAAAACTAATTACACTTTATTTTCCAACAATAACGAGACAAGCTAATCATACATGCACACAAACAAAACATGTTAGACGGGAACGGACGAGGACGAGAATCCGTGGAACTGATCACGCGGAATCGGGAGAATGATTAAAAAAATCCTGCATTGTATGCAACATACCAACTTCACAGGAAACATTGCTGGGGAATCGTTAATACTAATCGCTCGAGAACCGTAGACCATTTAGTCTCATGTCAGTATTCTGGTGAATAAATTGTGATAAGAAAGTCAAACACACGGAAGAAAACATTCCATTTACAGAACCATAACATGATTTCAGATCCAGTAAAAATAGAACAAGAAACTTTACAAACATTTGATTAGAATGAAGACTGTATTGATGTACCATATTGTATAGTTTAACAAGGTCCTACATCGACACTATACTATATCCGATAGGTATTCAAGATTCCTTCCCTAATCTCAATCACCACGTTAAGTGGTCGTACAATGTAAAAAGTGGGACGACACAAGGATGTGCATTACACATGTACTATTTCTAATAAATAGTAATTACTTCCCTCTCACAGTCAACAACTGTACCATAACATTACTTATAGATGATTAAAACCCGTTTTGAAACAGCCAAACTGGAGCTAGTAAAACTACCATTGAAGTGCATTTATAGATTCGGATGATGTGACTGAATGAACACATGATCGTTAGAAACAGCACGATAAAGACAATATATTCTCCATACTAGAAGTTGTGATTAACTGTCACATCCGAAAGTATCTTCAATTTACAATAGATTGCAAATTAAAATTTAGGCATTTACTCAGTGAATCTTCAAGTATATAAATCCATGTCATTATTTATAGTCTTACTGTAATCGACACCTGTTATAACACTTTGTATTTCAGTCTTACTGTAATCGACACCTGTTATAACACTTTGTATTTCAGTCTTACTGTAATCGACACCTGTTATAACACTTTGTATTTCAGTCTTACTGTAATCGACACCTGTTATAACACTTTGTATTTCAGTCTTACTGTAATCGACACCTGTTATAACACTTTGTATTTCAGTCTAACTGTAATCGACACCTGTTATAACACTTTGTATTTCAGTCTTACTGTAATCGACACCTGTTATAACACTTTGTATTTCAGTCTTACTGTAATCGACACCTGTTATAACACTTTGTATTTCAGTCTTACTGTAATCGACACCTGTTATAACACTTTGTATTTCAGTCTTACTGTAATCGACACCTGTTATAACACTTTGTTTTTCAGTCTTACTGTAATCGACACCTGTTATAACACTTTGTATTTCAGTCTTACTGTAATCGACACCTGTTATAACACTTTGTATTTCAGTCTTACTGTAATCGACACCTGTTATAACACTTTGTATTTCAGTCTTACTGTAATCGACACCTGTTATAACACTTAGTATTTCAGTCTTACTGTAATCGACACCTGTTATAACAGTTAGTATTTCAGTCTTACTGTAATCGACACCTGTTATAACACTTAGTATTTCAGTCTTACTGTAATCGACACCTGTTATAACACTTTGTATTTCAGTCTTACTGTAATCGACACCTGTTATAACACTTTGTTTTTCAGTCTTACTGTAATCGACACCTGTTATAACACTTTGTATTTCAGTCTTACTGTAATCGACACCTGTTATAACACTTTGTATTTCAGTCTTACTGTAATCGACACCTGTTATAACACTTTGTATTGCAGTCTTACTGTAATCGACACCTGTTATAACACTTTGTATTTCAGTCTTACTGTAATCGACACCTGTTATAACACTTTGTATTTCAGTCTTACTGTAATCGACACCTGTTATAACACTTTGTATTTCAGTCTTACTGTAATCGACACCTGTTATAACACTTAGTATTTCAGTCTTACTGTAATCGACACCTGTTATAACAGTTAGTATTTCAGTCTTACTGTAATCGACACCTGTTATAACACTTTGTATTTCAGTCTTACTGTAATCGACACCTGTTATAACACTTTGTATTTCAGTCTTACTGTAATCGACACCTGTTATAACACTTTGTATTTCAGTCTAACTGTAATCGACACCTGTTATAACACTTTGTATTTCAGTCTTACTGTAATCGACACCTGTTATAACACTTTGTATTTCAGTCTTACTGTAATCGACACCTGTTATAACACTTTGTATTTCAGTCTTACTGTAATCGACACCTGTTATAACACTTTGTATTTCAGTCTTACTGTAATCGACACCTGTTATAACACTTTGTTTTTCAGTCTTACTGTAATCGACACCTGTTATAACACTTTGTATTTCAGTCTTACTGTAATCGACACCTGTTATAACACTTTGTATTTCAGTCTTACTGTAATCGACACCTGTTATAACACTTTGTATTTCAGTCTTACTGTAATCGACACCTGTTATAACACTTAGTATTTCAGTCTTACTGTAATCGACACCTGTTATAACAGTTAGTATTTCAGTCTTACTGTAATCGACACCTGTTATAACACTTAGTATTTCAGTCTTACTGTAATCGACACCTGTTATAACACTTTGTATTTCAGTCTTACTGTAATCGACACCTGTTATAACACTTTGTTTTTCAGTCTTACTGTAATCGACACCTGTTATAACACTTTGTATTTCAGTCTTACTGTAATCGACACCTGTTATAACACTTTGTATTTCAGTCTTACTGTAATCGACACCTGTTATAACACTTTGTATTGCAGTCTTACTGTAATCGACACCTGTTATAACACTTTGTATTTCAGTCTTACTGTAATCGACACCTGTTATAACACTTTGTATTTCAGTCTTACTGTAATCGACACCTGTTATAACACTTTGTATTTCAGTCTTACTGTAATCGACACCTGTTATAACACTTAGTATTTCAGTCTTACTGTAATCGACACCTGTTATAACAGTTAGTATTTCAGTCTTACTGTAATCGACACCTGTTATAACACTTAGTATTTCAGTCTTACTGTAATCGACACCTGTTATAACACTTTGTATTTCAGTCTTACTGTAATCGACACCTGTTATAACACTTTGTTTTTCAGTCTTACTGTAATCGACACCTGTTATAACACTTTGTATTTCAGTCTTACTGTAATCGACACCTGTTATAACACTTTGTATTTCAGTCTTACTGTAATCGACACCTGTTATAACACTTTGTATTGCAGTCTTACTGTAATCGACACCTGTTATAACACTTTGTATTTCAGTCTTACTGTAATCGACACCTGTTATAACAGTTTGTTTTTCAGTCTTCCTGTAATCGACACCTGTTATAACACTTAGTATCTTTTCGTATTTCCCTTATTCAATCAAGAGTTCGTTTTTATTTCATTACATATATAAAGATATTGACACACCCTCACATTTCACATCTGAACACATTATTTAATCTATCAACAGATACATATAATATTAAGTTATCCTTCTCCACCATCTATAAAACGCTATAATTAGCACTTATAGAAACAAGTATATGATATATGAGCATATCATACCTTAGATATAAAATGTACATATGAAAGTTTCATATTTTAAGATTACTATATACAACGTGCTTGTATGTATAAACATATACTGGAGTTCTCAATTGATACTCTCAATCCATCTCAGTTATTTAATGTGAATTAGGAAGACCGCAGTGTGCCATGTCCTGTTTTGCTTTTCGTTGTGCGATGTTATTATTTCCTGG